GCTCAGGCCGGGGCGGTGCGGGCTGGGTTACGCGGCCCAGCCGCTCTGCTCCTCGACTCCCCCCAGCACCCCCACCCCACCCCCAGCACTGTATGGGGGGCGGGGAGGAGGTAGTGTGCGTTTGGAGCGACTACTTCCAACTTTTAGTTTCTCCCTGGGGATCTAGTGAGGTGGCTACACCAGGGACCCAGCAAGTGAAATGGGGTCAGCCCATGGGAGTGGCCAGGAAGCCCTGACCAGCAGCAGGCCAGCTGCTCGCTAAAGGGTGCCTGGAAAGGAAAGGAATCCGGGCCTGGACTGAGGCCAGTGCTCTGGCAGTATGTGACATTAACAGGTACAAAGGAAAAGTCCTGGTTCTAGGCAAGCACTACAGATTGTACAGAGTGGAAAGAGCCAGAACAAAACTTGTCTGTAGGGTGAAGAAAACACAGTCCTCTCTGAGGCAGCTGACCTCTAGTGTTTTGAGATGCAGGGTAGTCAGGCTTCAGTACATTTGCAGCATATAAGATTTGTATCAGTTTGCAGATACAAAGTGATAGTCTACACACCACTTCAAAGTTAAACTCATGCAAATTCAAAGAATCCACTTCCAAGGGTGGGGATGAATTCTGTAGGCCAAAGAGGCAGTTCAGTGTGCTGTCCACACACAAGTTCTACAAGTGAAATGCTAATAAATTCTTAAACCAGTGTATGTCACGACAAATTGAATTTGAAGAGAAACTAATTGAAGACAGCTTTCATCCAACCAAGGGTAACGTATTGGGGGGAAATTAGTATTATGCATGTGTAGGATTTGAATTCTAGGACAGTAGTGGTGAGCTCATGGCATGGATGTTGCTGTTCTTTAAAAAAATTGTTAATGTTTGATTTGGTTTTTTTCTAAACTAAAACCTCAGTGTTCAGGTTTAACTGCAGTGTTGGCATTTTGCGATAAATAAGTGGATTTGAGCACTCACTCACTCTTAACAGGTTCACCCTCACTGCTATAGGACCTAGGATGGAAACATAAGACAAACAGTGCTGACAACTTTGTAGGCCCTGGATTTTTTTTAATGAATATAAGGATTAGCATTTGTATTTATGTCATTGTCTTACCTAAATCTTATTTCTAAATAGATCATGGTGATAACAATAGTCAACCTTGTTATTTTAGCATTGTCCATCCTCATTTCTTTCAGTTGCTACCATAACTGGGAGGTGATAGACACTCTTCCCTCCCTTCCCAGATCAGTAACATAAAGCTTAAAAGACCGAGTGTCCTGCCCAAGTCTGTATTGCCCGGATGTTACAGATGACACTGATGTGCTAACCTACAGGTTGGAGACCACTATGGGAGAAGATAGCAAAGCTTTCAGACTACTGAGGCCCAGGAGCCTTTTAAAGATTTGAGAAATGTCACATAGTAAGATCAGCAACAACCGCAAAGCTAAAACTCAGGTCTTCAAACTCGGATTCACAGAAGTTCCTATAAAGGCATTAATCCAGAGCTTTAAATTATATGCGAATTCTATACAACAGTAAAGTTCAATATTTTTCCAGCACTGGTACGTAGATTGTACAGTTCACAGGACTGAACACACCACTAATATAATGAAAACTGAAGTGTCTGATTCCCGAGTGCTATATCAGGAAGTTAAAGGGATCTTTTGCATGCCTTTTAACAGCCTACAGCTTGTCAAGTGTTCAATACAGACAAACAACCAGACTGAAACTTGGCCAGTGAGTTACATATACAACAAATCAATTGAACATAGTGGAGTTTGTCACACTCATGAATGATTAAATACAATTTACACTTCCACAGGGCTGATATTCACAGATCTAAACTGGAGAACACTTGAGTTGAAGAATAATCATGACTCAGGGAGGAAACATTATTCAGATGTGATAAGGTAAAATCTTGAAAATATTGACAGGATGATTAGAGAGCTATGAGGAACAGTGTTCGACATATAGCATACTGTAAACTGGTATGGAGTAGTAAGACTGGGGG